AACAGAGAGATCGCTGCCATGAATAGAAATGGTGCGTCGCCAGCGGAAAAGGGCGGACGCCAGCAGTGACAGACCTGGGAGACAAATGAATCGAAATGCTACATGGCTAGTGGAAATGGGCGGACACCAGCAGTGACACAAAGGGCGGACACATCTTAAGAAAGAATTGAGAACCCCAACAGCAAATTGTTTGGGGCAAAAATGGGAGACAAATACAAAGAAGTGGGAAGCCGGCTGGAAACCCGACTACAAGCACCCAGGCTGGGAGACAAATAAAAGGAAATGGGAAATAAATGCAAGGAAGTGGGAAATAAGCGAGCTGGGAACCGGACCACAAGCATCCAAGCCTGGCGGACAAATGAAAAGAACTGGCAAACAAATGAGAGGAAGTGGGAGACAAGCCGGCCGGGAACCCGACCACAAGCACCGAGCCTGGCCACAAGCATCCAGCCAGGAAAGAAGTGGGAGATAAACGAAAAGAAGTCGGAGACAAATGGCACCCAGCCTGAGAGACAAATGAAAAGAACTGGCAGATAATTGAAATGAAGTGGGAGAGAAATGAAAAGAAGTGGGAAACAAATGAAAGGAAGTGGGAGACAAGCCAGCCGGGAACCCGACTACAAGCACCCAGCCTGGGAGACAAATGAAAAGAACTGGGAGACAAGTAGAAAGAAGTGGGAGACAAATGAAAGGAAGTGGGAGACAAGCCAGCCGGGAACACGACCATAAGCACCCAGTCTGGGTGACAAATGAAAGGAGTGGGAGACAAGCCAGCCGGGAATCCGACCACAAGCACAAAAGAAATGGGAGATAAATGAAAGGAAGTAGGAGACAAGCCGGCCGGGAACCCGACCACAAGCACATAGCAAACAATGAAAAGAAGTGGGAGACAAATGAAAGGAAGTGCGAGACAAGCCGGCCGGGAACCCGACCACAAGTATTTAGCGTGGGAGACAAATGAAAAGAACTGGGACACAAATGAAAAGAAGTGGGCGACAAATGAACGGAAGTGGGAGATAAACCAGCCGGGAACCCGACCACAAGCACCCAGCCTGGGAGTCAAATGAAAAGAACTGGGAGACAAATGAAAAGAAATGAGAGACTCATGAAAGGAAGTGGAAAACAAGCCAGCCGGGAATCCGACCAAAATGAAAAGAATTGGGAGATAAATGAAAAGAAATGGGAGACAAATGAAAGGAAATGGGAGACAAATGAAAAGAAATGGGAAACAATAAATGAAAGGAAGTGGGAGACAAGCCGATCGGCAACCCGACCAATCCATCTAGCAGCAAGGCGACCATTTTCTCAAGCATTGAGAACCCCTAACAGTAAATTGTTTGGGGAACAAATGAAAGGAAGTGTGGAACCCGACCAGACCATCCAACACTAAGGCGACTATTTTTTAAAGCATTGAAAACCCCTAACAATAAGCTATTTGGGGAAAAATTGCATTAGGAGTATAGTGCACACGAAGGGACCTCAGACCAAGCCATGCTAGACTCAGCCTCGGCTTCTATGAAGCACTTTCCTTCACTTGTTACAGGTGTACTTCATGACCGACGGATTCTTGATGATATTAATCTTCCTGCCCTGCTGCCTTTTGGCAGCGTAGGCTTCAGGTGTCTGTACTAATTGGTTGTGCTTCCGGGCAAAGGAAAGCACCATGAATCGTTGCTTCTCATTGCGCATGGTGTTGAAAGTGCGGGAGTAGTCCCGGAACAACAGTGCTTGATTTTGCAGAAAATCTTCGTAGAAGTGCCACATTTCGCAAAGCGGCAAGCACGGTCATATATGACACAATTGAGTGAAGGAAGAGATGGCATAATCTGTTCCAGAGCGGCCTTGGCGATGTGGTTGTCTTCCACTTTCTACATCTCCTTGACAGACCAAATAAGGCCTGATGATGGGTGGACCACCATGAACCACCGCCAAAACCGAAGCTTGGCACTGCTATCTGCGCGCGGCCGTCCTTGATGAGCTGGTGGGTCGACAATGCACCTAGTTGATGTCTTTTCATGCCCATCCAAAACAATTTTAGGAAGAGATATGGCCGGCTAGCCTACAGAGAAATGCCAAAAAGAAGCTGGATCCAAAGCGGCTATGTATACATGCAATCAGACAGTGCCATTCAATGCAGTGAAGGCAACGGAGTGAGTGAAGTGACAAATTTCAGACGCCAATTTGTAGTAGCCTCAATTACAACGAAGTGCAAGCAACGAGTGGACGAAATTCGTGGTAAATGGAAAATATTTTGTCCTTTTCCATTTCCTTGTGCATTTTCCTTTTTGATTCTTCAATATGCTCTCCGTTTCCCGGGGCGGGAGGTCGGCAAAAAAGAATTGGTGCTGCCTCAAATCAAGATTCCCAATTTTTTGTTTTTTTGGTCGATCCCCCCCCTTCTGGGAAATTCTGTGCGGTCCATATCCGCGACGCTGGCGATATTGCGATGTCTGTTATTGTGATGTGGCGCGTGATATGACAATATCCTCCTATATTTTATCTTTAAATAAGAATACTTGGAAAACAGATACCTCCACAACGTCGTGTTCTGTAATTTTACTCTAATCAATAAATATATATTTAGATTATAATTGTTGAATATATAATTAAATTGATTATGTCTATTGATGAAATTTAGATATAATATAGGTGATATATATATATATATATTGTTATATTTTTTGAAATTTGCTTATCTTTATTTTGATATATAATGTATTTTTGTTTTTTAGTTTGATTAATACATCAATATATTACAATATTTTTTAATGAATTAATGGATAATATATAGGTTTGATTACTATATATTATTAAATTAAAATATCACGAAAGGTAGCCCTTTAGGGGATACCTTGAGTTTGTCTTGCGAAGCAAGTATTGGCTCCTCCCGGGTCGAATAATTGATTGCTCAATTCACCCCCCCTTGGAATTCATTTTTTAATACAGCCCCCCCCCCCTCACAAAATCAATTCCCCCGTCGGTACACGTTTTCGTGAGTGATCCTTTTCATGGAAACCTACCGTCTCTTAGATGTGATTGTTGGTATTCGCCGAACCCGTAGCATCGTCGCAACTTCATTCGAAGCTTCCAGCTGCCATGGTTTTCCAGAGCTTGTCTAGATTGGAGGAATGCAGACATATATACAGATGTCTTTTTCCTCTGCATTAATCGAATAGACAGCTTGCCCTATTAACATGACGCTTTGTCTCACCCGTATGTGGAATTTTGAAACGCGATCCGAACAAAAAATCCGAATTGTGCTGGAATTTCACGAACACTAATCGTTACCACCTAGATTCGTGCCTCTCGCATTCGCTTCTCTTCCCGCTCTCCTACCTTTCGTATCTCCCTCCTTTCAAATTTAAATATAAAAGAATTATCTATTTATTCAATATAAATATATCTTAATAATTTAATATTAAAATATATATTTCAAAAAAAAATATATATATATTATTCAAATAATAATTCTTCAATAATATATTGTTTAATTTAATATATTAAATATATAGAATTTTACTTAATATAATATATATTTTACTAAAATATATATATTTATATTTATTTTAATTTCTATATATATATTTTAAAGAAAACATCGTATTTTTTAAAATTTTGCATATTTACCCAATTTATATAAATTATATTTTTTATATTCATTAATATTATCTTATTTTAGGATATAAAAAACTATAATTTAAGAATAATTAAAAATCGATATATATAGATATATAAATAATTTCCAAATGTATAGAATTTATTATATAAATGTAAATATAAATTGCCTTTACCCTTACGAATGCAATACAAAATATATTTAAAATACATAAATAAATATAATTCAAAAAAAAATTGCAAATTCAATTCGATATTATCATTAAATATTCCCAAATAAAAACCATTGCACGCCTAAATTAATTCCGTCATCAAATTTCAAACACCCAAATATTCAAAGATAATATTATCTACAATAATTATACTAATAATACCCTACCACGAAACCACGCCCAAACTCCAATATACACACAACTATAAATCTTACAATCTAATAATTTATATCAATCGAAAAAAAATCCAAGAAGCTCGAATCACTATATATTCAATATAATATAGATTTATAGATTAATATCAATTATCGATATATTCATATTATAATTCAAATATTATATGTTAACCGATTAAAATGTAATATATTCCTTTCCGAATTTCGTAAAGACCATTATTTTAATAATTCCCAAGATATATATTCCTTTTACATATTCTTAAATTATGGTCTTTATTTAAAATATATTTTTAGTAAAAACAACCAATTAATTATATAATTCCAAAATTTCTCCTCCTCCTCCTCCTCGTTTTCAACCGCGTTCCCCGCCGGACCTCAATTGCGAGCTCCGAATATTATCCATCGGACCTCAATCGCGAATTCTGTTTAATCGTATTCCCCAAAAGTAAAATCGAAAATCATTGAAATCGATTGATATTTTTGGCGGGAACATAAAATATGAAATTTAAAAATGCCGATTAATATCCTGCAATGAAGCCAATTGAATTTGCCACCAGCTTGTCAGCCAAAGCGACGGCTGTCACAATGTTCAAACATATTCCAACATGATTCCACGTGTTGGATGACTGCCTTTATCAAACACTCTAGATGTATATATACATGTATATATATAATATGCAGTATACCTATTATGGTCCCCGGCACATTTTGTGGGGCCCAGGGTTGCATAGGGCTCACCAGAAATTGTCTTCGGCTTAGACAAATCCAAATGCCAAACATGGTAGAGGTTGAGCACGACAATTCCATTCACCCAAACATACCTCCCGCTAATGACAACCGTTTCGATCACTCTGTTCTGACACAGCCAGCTGCAAGCTTTGTACAAGGCCTCTGATCAGAAATCGGCTCTGGTGTGAAACGCACTACAGGCCTTATGGCTGCACGATTCCTTTGGAGAGCCTATCATGCAAACTAAAGGCGCAACCGCCTCTGTTGAGATACCACTTGATGCCGATGAGCAGGCCGCAATTAAGTCTCCAAAGGATTCTGGATTTGGAAGATTGCGAGGAGACAGCGGGCTTTCAGTGGAGTTGGGAGCCTTTTCGTCAACAGAAGCAGCTGCAACGATACTGGGCAAACTTTTGGTTGAATCATGTTGAATCTTTCTGACTTCCTCAAAGAAAAGCATTTCACAATGACAACTGTGACGCCAGTACCTTCATTCAAGCTGGCCGGGCTGCTGGAACCTGAGCAAGCTAACAGCTGGCCGATAGGTGTCAAAGGGCACACAAATCCAAGCTCTTTTCTGCATGACCAACGGAATGAGCACTAACAGCTGCCTACTTGTGATTGCTAGTTTCACGTGGGTTTTACGGTTTACGTACCTGGTGTGCTTCTCAATTGCATTCACTCAGACTGCCAAAATCTTTTCTTGCCCCAAGTGGACCTGCTAAATGTGACATAAATTCAGATGGACTTCATACACCTTTCAAGTGCATCAGTCAAAAACACATTCGGATTGTCTCTGTCCAACCTGCGTGGATTGGTGAGAAGCAACCTCCAGCGCCTCCACCTCATAAGCACCCAAACACCATGACCAAACACATGTGAGAAATGGTGAGAAGCCCTATGTCGCCTATGTCACTAGACATGAGGTCCTACAGCACATCTCTTCCTGCGCCCTCCTTGGCTTCAGGTGTTCGCAGCACTTCCGGCCGGGGGAGAAAAGCTTGCTTTAGGGAAGCAAGACTAGACAAACGAGGGGGGAAGTTAAACCATTTGGAGGTTGCTCTCGCAAGGCTGTAAAAACAGAGGTCACTTAGTGAGAACACTTGTGGATTCAATCCATGTCAGTGGGCGCTTCACTCTCGGCGCCACTCTCAGCGCCACTCATCTCACCTGATGAAAGTGTGGAACGACCGCCCAACGAGCACCACCACTCAGGGCGGACCCAGTGGTTTTCAAAAAAATATAGCCAAAGGTACCATGAAAATGGCCATTAAATCGGATCTCGCAGAAACATATCGCGCCATGTGGAACCAGAACTGCTGAACTGGGGGGCAAACCAAGGTCACACCAGTGCCAGGAAGGAGTGTGATGCTTCTGACACTCATTATGCCATTATGCTGACCCTTTTTGAGGTTTCTGATCAAAGGTTTGCGTTGTGGACTGCTACGACGGGGTGTCCCTTCCCGTCTTCGGCAGTCCATAATGAGAATCCTCTGCCGAGTCACTGTCTTCCGCATTTGGGGACCTGGATGCGCGGAAAAATATGGAAAAATACAGAAACATCATCCCATAAGGGAATGCGACAGGCATGTTCACGCACTATACTTTATTAGGTTGGAGGCCATTGCCATGAAGGTTCCTTTTGCAATTAGGTTGAGGTTCCTGATTTAACTTAAATAGCTACTAGGAACAAGTGCATCGCTACTAGGAGCAAGTGCCTTACTACTACGAGTAGTAACAAGAAGCTAGTAGAATTAAGTTAAATTAGAATTGACTCCTATTGCCGTCTTCTCAGGGCGATTGATTTGTCTTCGCCGTTCGACATTTCCCTGACGTAGACCGACCGGAGTGATCTCATCCCCTGCCTGGACTTCAAAAGCGCATGTCCAGTAGCACTGAGTCCCGCAGCCTGAAGTTGGAACTTCGAAAGACCAAAGCCTTTCGCCCTGTGCGTGCTATTTCGTGGAGATGGTGAAGGTGGAGCGATCTCATCATGAGAATCTGCCAGAGTCTCAGTGAAACGAGGGAAGCTCCATCCTCTGTTCGGCGAATCCTCTTCGATGGATCGGGTGCTGGTGTGTGAAGCTGTCCTCACTTCATGAGGAGCCTCTGCAGTCCCACTTGGGGCTGTCCTTCCAGGAACCTCATCTTCTGCATGTGCATTTGCCTCATTGGCCTCATTGGCCTCATCCGCCCGATCCTGTTCATAGTAGGTCTGTGCCAAAAAGTGTGCATATTGCTGATCGTTCTTCGAAAAGCGCGAGGCCACCCGAGCCAAGGCGTCTTCATCCCTGATCCCCAACTCATGCTGCCTCCGTTGCTCTTTCGAGACCGCTGAGATGTAGGCCACTCGATTCTTAGCCCTTGACCTACACAGGGAGGGACACGGTAGACCCGGACAATCACACGGACGAGATGCACCTTGGCCTGTTCAGCGGCCAGGTCTCGAAGAATGCGCGAGCGGCATGTTCGGCTGCATGTTCGGGACCCGGCGGGCATGGAGTGGAGTCGAACACGACTCCAATTAGACTGACAGCAATGGCCTCCACCCTAGGTTACTATTGGATTCGGAAACTAAACGGTTGTATCCGCAAGCTGGGACGGTTGTATTCGGAATTCGGAAACAGGTACGGTACGGTTGTATTCGGAAACTGGAGGGATCTCGGAAACTACGAAGAGCAACACCAAACATTACATGGAAACAACGCAAAGCTACAGGGAATTGACTTCTTCGCACAGCGGAGGCTGATAAGCTCAGTATAGTAAGTCGTGAAGGTACTTTTTTTTAAATCAAGCTCACTTACTGCTGTATGCATGTTTGTCATTTCTGGTTTAGCTTTGTATTGTCACGCTTCTCTACCCAGACACGGCCTCTTCTCGGCTTCCATGACAGTACAATTTCAACACCCCCCCCTACATCCCCTCATCCTAGAGATCATCAACTTTTCACGCAACTACCCGCCTATGTTTATTGCCCCCCCACCCCCCCACCCCACCCCCACAAATTTTAAAGAATTTCTGAATACGAATATAGTTTCTGAATACGAAAACATACTTTCTGAATCCAACAGTTTCTGAATACAACGAAATAGTTTCTGAAGACTAGTGAATACAACGCAGGTTCTGAATACGACTTTGTTCCTCCACCCTACTAGTGATGGCCTCCACCCTACTAGCGATGGCCTCCACCCTACTAGCGATGGCCTCCAACCTACCAATGATGGCCTCCAACCTACCAACGATGGCCTCCAACCTACTAGCGATGGCCTCCACCCTACTAGCGATGGCCTCCAACCTACTAGCTGAATCTACTCCCACTTGTTCAAGACTTTCCATGGACCAATGTTTTGGAGACTTTCTGTGATACCAATCTTTCGTCGGGCCTCTTTCGTCCAAGACCCAAGCCCCTTCGAGATTCATCCTTGAGCCCAGGATAAGTTTCACGCATCATCTGATAGCCCGCGAAGGAGTGGACACCAACGCTACACACCGAGTTGAGTTCCACCCCCATCTTTTGAGCAGCTGCCTTGGTGGCGGTGACGCGGCTAGGACGGAACAAGCTAGAAACCAAGAAGACATGGGCCATATATATATATATATATATTGAAATTCAAGGCCAGGGTGTTTTGTCATCTTCTGTCCCACTGCGCCAAACTTGACAGTTTTGTGCCCTGGTGTCATGGCTAGCGGCTTTGTAGGCTTTGGCGATCTCCAATCGCACTTTCAAAAATTCATCGAAGTCATTCTGCTGCCACCATAGTTGGGCCTTCTTCTGATCAGTCGCCTCCAACAAGCGAGGGACCGCCATACATTCCTTGCGAAACAGCATAACAACAGGGCCACGCAGTAGCTGCATCTTTCTTTAGCGTTGACTCTACCAAAAGAGTAATCGCAAACATTACTCAAAACTTTTCGCACCCAGGTGCTACTTCTGGGCTAAACCTCACCCTCTTTGGCTGAAGGACCACCACTGGTCGGGCATCGGCAAATCGAGGCCGCCAATATCTAGCAATGCCACCGACCATGACCACGGCAACCAAAGCAGAGCGCGCCATCGATGTGTGCTCACCACAATGATGTCTCAATGCAAATGCCACGATCCCTGCCACAAGGACTCCACCAAGGTATGTGCATCGTGGATCCCATGAGCTCTTCCCATGGCGCTTGAACTTCATGTTGTTCCACCGCGCATCAGGCTACGATTAACGACCAAATGATTCTCTGACGAGAGGCTACATGCTGCTAGCAGTGATGCAATTGCTTGGATCATCTTTGGTGTGAGACATCTAATTTTCACTGTGGGCTCATCCTACAAGTCGGCCTAAACTTCCTTGGCTCTCCGTCTAATGGCTGTCAGAGCTGCAGGTTTGAGGAATGCGCTGTTTAGGTGGTGATCGCAGGAATGTCAGGAGTTCACACCGTAAATCATGAGCATTCTCGCCGCATGGTTTGCATCCGCATGGCTTTCATCTTCGCAGGCGGCGTAGCGGCACGGCGCAGGTGGCGAGTGAAACTCTTGACTCGACTGCGTGCTCAAGACTGCGCGGCCAAGGGCTGTCCCTTGGTCCTTCAGGTAAAAGTGCCACTGACGTGTCAGCCAGGCTACCTAGCACAATCGGCAATGAGCATGAGCAAAGCACTTGACACAATTCATTTGTAGATTGGATATGATCAGCTGATGATCAACTGGGCACGGCCAGCTCGTTCCATAGCCAGATGTCCGGCCCCTTGGATGGCTGCCATCATTCACGCTCATGGCTGCATCCCCGCTTCGGAGGTCTAAAAATCACCCACAAGGCGCAGCTAGCCAGAATGAGACCTGTGCCAGCAGTGTCATAGCTGCGACAACCTGGGCACCCAGTCACCTAGATTGAAATCCGCTTACAATTCAGCTCATAGCATTCCCCCGTCATTCTGTTTGAAACATGACATGGACGTCTTCTCAGCAGTTAAGTTATATATAAGTCTGCGTCAAGTTGCAAAGTAGGGCAGCCCCGGCTGGCGAAGGTCTTTGGAGGCTGCCTGAGCTGTTTGTTGGCAGAGTTGACTGTTGTGAACACTTGGCCTTCTGTGTCTTAAGGTGCAACAGTAGTACTGTTGCTGCCACACCATGTGGAAAAAGAGGCCTCTGCCTTGCTTTGTCATACCTGTTGTTCGCGCGCGGGCATGTTGTTCGATGTTGTTCGCCTCCTTCTGCCGCCAAAAGACCCAGTAGAAAAGGTTGCTGTACAGCAATGGCGCAAGCACCTCCCGTCATCTTCCAGCCATTTCAGGTTGACAACATACGACGTGTGGGTCGAAGTGGATGGCAAGCAGCTGCTTGGCTACATTAGCAAGTCGGTCCCGCTTGGCTTAGCTTCGGTCGGTGTACGATGGACATTTTGATGCACCAAACTGGACAGCGGTGAGTTTCTTCCCCCCCCACCTCCCCAAAACAGAGTAGAACTATCAACCACTCTGCAGATTCATCATTTTAGGGAGAGCCTAAGCCCACCCAAAGAGTGAATCACCCCCCCTC